CGCATTTTCCTCTTCAAACCGGTGACAGCGAGCTAAGTTACTGTAGGTTTACAGCCGTCATAGCCAGGCTTTGTCCATGCTGGAGTAACAGTGGTCTGCGTCAGCGTGTGTAATGCTCAGTCCGTCAGAGTCCACACAGTCAAACACAATGCTCTCCACATCAACCTCCACGTCCTCTGTAACAAAAATCAAACATCAAATCATCAGTGGGAGGAAATATGAAGAAATCCTCATGTTGAGTGGTATGTACACACAAGTCTTCAGGAGTGTGAAATAACACAATGAAGCTGTTGATTACATTTTTGCATTTAGACAAAAGAATTTGGAAGTGTAAAATTGAGACCATGTCATGTTAAGCTTAATTCAATCTGAATTATAGCTCAGCTCCAGTCAGACCAATATAAATAAAAATCTTTCCAATAATAATAATAATATAATACTACATTGATTTGAAATAGAATGTGTTAACTTCTTGAAGCACATTGAGCTATGTGACATTTGTTATGTAAATGAACTTGACATTATGACAGTAAGCATGAAGCTAGCTGCCAATTAGCTTAGCTTAATATAAATAGTGGAAACAAAGTAAACAGCCTGGCTCTGTAGGGAGCTAACAAACTGCCTCCCAGCTTCTCTATCCAATTATATGCTTCAGTAAACTTTAAAATATTGTTTGCACAGAATTACATCTGTGGATTTTTCCCCTTCACTGCCATTTGGAGCACCTTTTTAAGAATGATTACAGTAATCCAAATCTCCCTTAGGGCCACTTGACAATTGTACTCACACAGACTTAAAACAAAACTCTCTGCTACGACTTGGCATTGTTCAGCCCAATAGGCGGAGGTGAGACCAACCTCTGTCAGAGTCCGACCTCTCGGAGGACATGGTTGACCCATGGCTGTTGTTCCTCATCCTCTCTGTGCCCCTCTGCAGCTGCTCCAGCCGCACCCGCAGCTCCCTCTGCTCCCAGCGTAGGCGACCCTTCAGCTGCTCCGCACACTCGTCCTCAACCTGCAGCTTCTGAAAGGAGGAGGCGGAGTGGAGAGAGAAAGGAGTGAGCTGTGGAAAAAATCATGAGACACAAAGAAGCTGGAACCTGGAAGCCACGGGAACATGGTCCCTAAAAGTTATCTTAACATCCTAACCACCTAAAACTGCATATGCGGACAGTGCAGGGCATCTGTGTGCACCTTTATGTGGAGCTGGGCATGTCTCAGCAGGTTGAGGGTGGTGTTCCTCACGGAGTCAGATGAGAGGGGGACTTGTTGCTTGAGCTGGTCCAGGCATTGCCTCAGTTGGGCTCGTCTGCAGAGCACAACAACAACAAGCAGCGACTCATGAGGTTTGTGTGTGCCAGCAGGGTGTTTAAAGATAAGTGTGGCCTTGAAGTGACGTTATCACAAAAAAATAACTTGAAGTACCTGTTTTTTTCCAGCTCGTTGTGAACCGACCTGCAGGGAGAGACAGGAGGAGACAAAATGGTTAGGTCGAGAAATATACACACTGTTGTATGTAAGTTTGAAAGAGAGCGTTTTATCAAAGCTGGAAGTCCTTCACAGCCACACCCTCCTGTCAGTTATATTGGATCATGTATTCACCTATTGCCACCAGCAGATATTTTCCTGCTCTTCTGTTTGCTCTTCTTATCGGAGTGACCTGGGCTGAGAGGCAGGACTGAGGCATATCCATGTTCTGCTTCTGTGCAAAAAACAAATCACATCACAGCTCGTGTGAGGAAACAAACACTTTCAGAGGGTGTGGCCACTGTTTTTAGCCCACGATGATCGACTACAAGTGTCTGTTTGGTTCGAGGTGTTGGTTTGAACATCGGAATAATACCCAACCCTTTTTTTCTTTTTTATAAATATAGTCTCATGTGTTTCATTTTGTTCACAGGTAAACATAACAATTGTAATAATATAGCAAATCTCAAAACAAAGTGCTTCACAAATAACAAAAAACACAAGTAAAAACATAGAATTATTATATTATATTGCACGTTTACTTATTCTTACTTTTGCTGATGTCTGTTTTCTGACTGTAGAATTGCTAACTCCCCCATTGTTGGACTGATAAAGGTTAATTTTATTATCTTGTGCTAAATACAAAAGATATTTTAGGATTCATATGACTGAGCTCCAGTGTTGTGATTCATGATTCATTGTTATTCTGTTATAATGATCATCGTCGTCAGGTTTGAAGTGACTGAGGTGAGATGAGGACAAAGACTTTGTGCTGCTGTCATCAGCATCATCTGCCGGCCGGGCGGTTTGGTTTTGGATTTGGCGCCATCACCCACTGATTCTTCACTGTGATCAAATCTCTTCCATCCATGGAAGAAGCTCACACGGTGTCTACAGAACGAGGCGGACGAATGAAACTTGGTCATTTGGTTAATTCCCTGCTTGACTTTCAGTCACTGCTCTGAGCGCTCAGGCTGCTTTTCAAACCGGGAGCAGATTGGCGCCTTCGAGTACAATGATGCCTCGGATATGTAGGTCACTGAGTCAAACGGGGAAGATCGCTTGTAATAAAGTCCCGGCAAAAAAACATCTCCCTCTAATCTCGATCCTCTGCTGCGTGTCGTGTGCCTGACGTGTTCCGATCGCATAGTTTCTGTGTCTCCGTTGTGCATTTTGTTGTTTAACAATAAGCAACTTCCTCCCCCCCTGCAGACTGACAGTCCTCGGTTAAAAACATACCTCTCTCCCTCCTCTCCAGGAACTCGGCGGCCCGGAGAAGCACCTGGATGTTGCACACTTGTCCTTCCATTGTTGTTGTGTTATTTCCGAAGTAAATAAGAAGTAGACCGGAGTAAACAACCTCCCTGCGGCTCTGCAGTCTGTAGATGAAGCTGTGTCTGTGCTCCGTCCTCAAGCCTCACAGCCCCAACACTGGTGCTGCGTTCACGCACCCCTCCTAAACTCAGATATTAGAACGTCTTCCGCACACTGCCCTTACATGCATACAAGTATTTGCTCCTAGAAAAGCTGACGCGATCGGGTCACCGCCGGGTTTATATGACAGTAGCCCACTTTTTGTATAAAATCAATCATCAAAGTGGGAAATGACACATTTCTATCAAGCACAAAGTCATAAACACTGTCAAAGTAAACATGTTTCTCAGTGAAACCTGACCTTAAAACAGCAGTTTAACATTAACCAGCAGACATATTCACATAAATGCTTATTAGTGTGTGTTGTTCTTATGAATCAATAAATTTAACAAAAATTTTAGATTTCCCTAATTTATTGAATGCACCGACAAAAGACGTAATACGTCACTGTCAAGCCCCCAGCCCCTCCCCTCCACAGCACCTTTATTTTCAGACATTTATTGACACGAGTTTATGTAATTGTCCCCATTAAATCAAAACCTTAAACATATATGTTAAACCCATGTATGTTTTATCTGACACTTTAATTTACTCCTGACAACTCTGGGTTTGTTAAACCTGAGGTGACAGAAACTTCTTGTTTGAGGTTAACATTAGTTTTCTTAACTTTGTCTCTTTCTCCTCACGTTGAGCCAGAATGTAATGTTTCGTGTCAGTAATCCAAGCACTTTAAGTTTATGTTGAAAATGAACAAATGTGAGGCCTCTGTCTTTTATTGTAATGAATGTGAGGACAGAAACTGAGATTTCAGAGATCTCTTGCATTCAAATAGTACACAAAATGGCTTCACCTTCAGAATAACATCTTGGATACACATATTGCACAGTCTAACACACATTCTTAGATTATCACTTCCCCTGCACAGAAACATTTCCCCTGCATCAATACTGTAAATTAAATAAAACATCTGTGTGCAGACACTGATCTATGAATAATTCTTTGTCATGGTGTTGCTGGTGGCACTAATGGGACATTCCTGTCATAGTTATCATAATGTCAGTATCATCCTTTCATTTAAGTGTGAAACACTCATTTGTCTGTGCAAGTTCAATATATTATAAACCCAATCCTGTTTACACTGTATACATTCTGAATATATTATTGCTATTTTACATATTTCCTTATGATTATATTGCTCTCATCTTTATATTTCATTATGCTTATAATGCATGTTTACTTCTTAATTATTCTTAATGGATGTTTCTTATCTTTACTATCCCCTTTTACCTGTAGTGGAACTTAATAAAAGTTTATTTTATGTTAACTTTTCATAATCATATTGTACATTATATGATATTTCTCAGCAAGGAACCTGGAAAAAGTATGCAATAAATAGTTTAACAGTGAGTTTTTCAGATATGGCTGCATATTGTCTCAACTTGTTTTAAAAGCATTTCAGTTGCTGTATTTTAATATACTAAATGTTGAAACACAGCCATTCAATGTAAACATGTATCTGAATGGTTACACTCAGTTTTTACCAATTATGTTTTCACACGTCTATTTGTTTGTTGGCTGTTATGAATGTTTGTAACATGGTTATGCAAATACTACTGGATGGATTACTGCAAGACTTGGTGAAAGGATTTGGGACAATTCAGGAAAGGACCCATTAGATTTTGGTGCAGATCTGGATCAGGGTGCAGAATCCATGTTTTCTTTACATTTTATAACATTGTGAGATAGGGTGGGTTTTATTGTTTGTTTGTTTGTTTCCATTGTTTTTTGAAGGAATAACTGATGGATCTTGATTAAAAAATAAAAATGGGAGTGTATATTAGTGTGTGAAATTTGGTGCAGCTTAAGGAGACTGGGTGCCATTCTAGTTTTATCTATAATATTATTTTTGCATTATAAAATGTATTTTAAGTATAATTGCACATAAATAAGCATTATTTTTCAATTGCATTCTCAGTACATTACTTAAGACGCAGAAAACAGGTTTGAATAACTGAGCTGTTAACTGCATTCAGAGCAAAGTGGGAGGAAAGGCTTGACCTCACTAAATATGGCGGCATCCGGCTTCACTGTCTGCGCATGGCTTTAGTTGTATTCCCCGTGTGGGAGTGAAGCCTCTTTGCCAGCAGTATCTTTAACCTATGAACTCCCGAGTGTGCCAGTCCTCCGCCATATTGACTGTTGTCTTGACTGGAGGAGATAGAGAACATTTTGAGGTCCGAGAAGAAACGAAAGTGTGCCCCAAAAACCACCGAAACTGGTGCAAACTTGGCCAAAGCGCACCGTAAACACCGCGGCAATGGCGAGGAAGAAAAGCAAGCAGCAAGGGGTCGCTCAGAAAGAGCTGGCGCCCGGAGAGCAGACCGCACCGAAGAGCCCCGTCTCTCCCGGCGATGCAGCTGGCGGTGGCGGTGGAGATGCTGGGCTGGATCGGCTGGCCACCACCAGGGCGAACCAGGTAGCTAGCAGCAAGTCAATCGATGCCTCTGTTCTAAAATAGGCTAGCTAGCACCACTCTGCTAACCCAGGCATCCTCCATTGTGTTTTTATTCCGTGTAGCTAGCTCCTGCAGAGGTGAAGGTACACACACACACACGCTGCTTGGTGGGAGGTTATATTAGTCCTAACGTAGTAGTGGGGCTGGATGTGTGTGTGTGTGTGTGTGTGTGTGTCTGGGGGGGGGGGGGTACGTCGTTCGATTTGTAAATAAATAAATAATCCGCTCAACTTGACGAGCAGGATCGCCCACCCAGCCAGCCGGGTTTCGGAGGGCAAGTGTGGCTAGCGCTGCAGCCCGCATCCCTTTGCCCGGACAGGTGACATTGTGCCTCGGACAGGTCGTCTCGTTTCCAGCTTTCACAACTCCTCATCCGCCCCAGCTAACGTTAGCCAGGAGGCTAGCCGGGCTACAGCTAGCGTGCTGCAAACGTGCTACACTCGAGCCCATCCGCATGAACCAGCCAGGCGGCGGTGGCGGCTAACAGCTACTAGCCACACAGCTAAAGTCGATTGCGGGTTCACAACGAGGGTTTATTCTGCTCTGTAAGCTAACCTGCCATTGCGGTGTTGACAGCAGCCAATGTCAGAAGTTTCAGTGCACGGTAGTGTGTAGTTTTTTGTGATGCTAGTGATGCTCGTCGGTGGCTGCACCCGAGTCGGGAACACTGGAGAAGTTGAGATGAGGGGCTGCTGCAGGCTCAGCTAACCTTACACGTGACCTCTGACCCCTGGTGGGACTGACTTTACGACAGTTTATACCACGTGTAACATGCTCGTCTTGACATGGCACAACAATAAATGTGTAATTTAGGAACAACTACCCCAGTTTATTTGATACACAGAGGTAAAACGAATGCCATCAAATTTTCATTTAAACTGTTTTACAGAGTTGATAGACCCTGTTCTAAGTTGCATTATGTTTTGTGTCACTCTTTAAATTCTTCTTGCTCATACATCTAATTCATTTTTCACTGTCCATGCACTCAGAGTCAGGGATTTATTGCCAAGTAGTTTTATACAAACAAGGATTATTTTGTGATGTTTGTGCATAAACACAAATATATAAATAGGGGACAGTATAGAACAATGCCAAACAATAGAAAAATATGTATATTATGAATGTTAGATATATGCATATTTGTACACCATGACCATTAGTGACCACAGAGAGTTCCACCACAGTCGAGGATATTTAGGCAGTGTGATGATGGGGTCCAGGGCCTTATGGATAAGGCTGCTGTATTAGTGATTTGGTCCTGATGGTCCGCAGCCTCCTGCCAGACGGAAGTAACTCAAAGAGTTTGAACACAATAATGTTGTTATTTTCTACTCTGTTCAGTTGGTATTTTCCATAATATATTATTAATTATTCCGAGAGACATAACCTAACAGACTCTGCCTTTTCCTTCTAGTGTAAATTAACCTACAAAATAACGTGTGACACATCTCAGTTTAACTGTTATTCAGAGTATTAAACCACCTCTTTTTCTCCACCTAGCCTATGCACACCTGCTGCCTCCTGTGCCACCGTGAATTCAAGGACTGGGGAGCAAGCTCCACAAACGGACTCCCTGGGGGCCACGGGACCAAGTTGGCTGACGCTGTACCTGCGCTCTCCCAGGCCTTATTGCGGGAGGCGCCGGGGCGTAAGCTCGCAGATGCCGTGCCCTCGCTGTCTCAGTCCCTGCTGGGAGAGGTGCCTCTGTGGATCTGTCAGAGCTGCTGCAAGAGTGTGGAAGAGGAAGAGAGGCGGAGCAGCCAGGAGCATCCGACGCCGGTAAATAAAAGGGGACTGATTTGGGTCACGTCTGGGTCCTTTTCACCACTTCTTTTTTTACTACATTTAAGTTCATCTCTCTTTGTGTCTGTCGACTGGCATAATCTCATCTTTATTCATCATACAGAGCAATGTATCTGCATGTTCTTACTCACCAAACAAATCTGTCAGTCTGAATGTCACCTTGGATTCAATTAGTTTCAGCACAGCTTGTTTTGTGGCTTGGTAGCATATGTAGGGCAACAAGAGTTGATGGCTTTGCTTTATGTTTTTACAAAAAATACTAAAGATGAAATGCAAATGTTGGACACTTACTGTATTGTCTTTGGCGAAAGGTGACCATAGTGTTTAAGATTAAATCATATTTTGCCCAAACCTGTTACACTCCCTTTTTTTGCTACCATGATGAGTTCAATTCAGTCGCAAGGCACTTTGCATACTGTAGTAAGGTGGAGACCTTAAAAATGATTTAATAATTCCCACAAGGAGCAATCACTTTGGCGACCGCGGAGAGAAAAAAAACCTCTAATTAACTGTAAGAAACCTCTAGTAGAACCTGACTCAGTGTGGGCGACCATTTGCCTCCACTGGTTGGGGTGAGAGGAGAAAAATGGGAAAGAGGAGAGTTGGGTTGAAAAGAGGGGAGAGAAGAGACAGGGGGAGAGAGGGGAGACAGACCAGAGGCAGTTGTGTAACCATCATATAGAAGCTGTTGTTCTGGGCCCTACGTGTGCCAAACTGTGTGTTTGTGTCGATCTCCTGATGATCAACTAATTCAGTGTTTTTTTCCTTCAGGTACCATTGTCACACTCTTCCTCTTGTAAGTCCCAGAGCTGTGGGAATGGTTACCCGGAGCAAAGTACTGTAGACTGGGACCCGAGTTCCTTCCTGTCAGCCCACAAACTGTCAGGTCTCTGGAACTCTGCCCACACCAATGGAGGGGAACACTGCAACCACAATGCTTCTTCACACTCACAACAAGGTCTGTGATCACAGAGACGACTCCACACAACCTTTAATGACAGGGACAGTTACTCATTTCAGGCTTGTGTTGTAAGATTCAGTTTCGTGAAATGGACACAAATGTTGTTTAGAATCTGAGCTCCAGGAATGGTTTGTTCAGGTACCTCCAGCAATAAATGCGTGATACATTTCTGGCTTCTTTGTTCCTGTGCTGGTCTACGATGTCTTAGAGGAACAAAGAGGCACCTTGTAAAAGCTTATGATGCTTTTCCTCCTGAGGCGCTTCGAGCTCAGCATTATGAAACGTGCAATGATATTTTAAGATTTCTGTCACAACTATGAAGTGCACTAGCATTGATGAGATAAAGCTAACACTATTTCAAATGGAGGTGATCTAACTAAATCAGATAATATGGCTTTGATCAGCGGTTAGAAAATGTTTATAGCTGATTCTGTTAACCTGATTGTTTATTTAATTCCATCTTATTATTCAATTTCAACAAAACCAGGAGTCACAGAAACTACCGTACTTAACATTTATTACTTACTTTGAGTTGCAGCTGTTCAATTTGATTAAGCATTCATGTAGAAATCAGTGGAATTGAGGGTTTTATTATGTTTTCTTTCACTAATATACTTGTACACTACAAAGGAGTAACTGTAGTGTTAAAAATAAAGAATAACAAGCAACATGGTGCAAACATTTCAAGTGTGAAATGTTAATTATAGCTAACGATAACAAGTTTACCATTTGATTTGTTTTTCTAATGCACAGACAACGAAACTGTACCTAGAGGAGAACAGAGAATATCTTAAAACTAACTTCCTGTTGCTCTCATTACTTTAAAAGCTACGTAATGGACACAGGTTCAACAATGGTTCTCATGTGCTGAAAAATCATACAGTACAGTACAGCTGCTCTATAATTCAGAAATGAAAATGGGAGCTAATCCTCTCTGTGAGTTATATAAGTGATTATCCAGTTAGGATTGTTGTCATATCAACAGAATTACTTTGAAAACCTATAATTGAGATACATTAAGCATCAAGAATTGTTTTGTAATCGAATCATGCAAGTTAGGTTTAAATATGATCATTGATTTTACTAGCCTGGTTTTCGGAGCACATTCTGAGACATTACATTTAACAGATAACCGAACATTTGATAAAGGCTGTCTTTTCAAATAACTTCTTTTTCTGCCCTTTGACTGCAATACACCTCGGGTGGAGTCCTAGAAAATGTGTCTAGCTAGAAAATGAAAGATGTATCGTGAGCAGCGAGTTGATAGTGAAAGTGAAACGTGTCTCTCATAGAAAAGGGAAATACTGTTGTTTTGTTGCTTTGATTTCTTCTGGATTTTATCAAACCACTTTTCAAACCTACCTGGTGCACAAACTGCACGTGTGGTTGTATTTCCAGTTTAGCAACTGCTCAAATGGTTAATTTTGCTAAATTGTGTGTAAATCTTTAGTAATGGCACCTGTGCACATGCATAAACAACTTCAATTAATCTAATTTCGAAGACTTGTTTTGGTGCGGACTGAAACAATGGACTTTTAGCTGGGAATTGTGCTTGTGGACAACTTTTTTTCAAAGTTGTCTTGAGTTTGATGTGAACTTAGGAACTTCATGTACTTTATTATAAATCATGGTAAATGTTAAAGGGGACATTACTGTAACCTGTAGCTGTGTCTACTGAAAATGATGGGTCATTTACATGTTAATATCTTTTAATTCAGATATTATAGCACCACTTTCTTTATTTCAATCAGCAAAAAGCATTTTACCCTTCAGGGTTACAAATAACTTGCACTGCTTGTTTCTTTCTCATAGCGGAGATAATTGAAATAGTCAAACTTTCCCAGACATGGTGATTTTTGTGACATGGCCAGAAAATAATATTTCGTACTGCTCCTCTAAAGCTTAACACAGTTTTATAATGCAATGTATCAACTAAATAATTTGTTATCGATGTTTTGAACAATGTTTTATTATCAGCAAGATAAAAATAATGTCTGTAATACAAAAGGAGTATTTTCCTTTCCTGTAATCATAATCACATTACCTTCATCAGTGCCCTCTTTCATCCATTGAATCTTCTCCATCTACAGGTTTAACACCGGGATCAGCCTTTCACGAGAAAAGAGGGCTTCATGAAGCACCTGGGAAATCTGCGAAATCATCAGGGACCAAAGTCTGTCCCTACAGTCATCCGTCATCCCAAAATTCCAGTGGATCCTCTGCTGGGAACCCCCTCTCTACCTCAGCAGACCTTTGTAAAACCACTCCTAAGCACTTCAAGACCATGTGCCGGCGACCAACGCCACCAGGTAATTTCCCCCTGACTCCTAGTGTTCAATTGGGTTGTTCTGTGCCAAATCACTCCTCTTCTGTTTCTCAGGCTTTTAGTTATTATCTTATTCAACCACAATAGTTTTAAAAGCTTGCAAACTCAAGTAAGTGCGGCACAAAAGTGTGATGATTCGACACAGAACAACCCAATAGGCTTTTATAACAACTGGAACCCTGCAGCCTGAAGAATCTGCTCAAATTGTTCAACGTAAGTACTCACGAATGTACTCTTTAATTTTACTATAACTGTAGTGGAAAGTATAATTTAAAAAAAATGTCACTAGACAACTCAAAAAAAAAATTGTTAATCAATAGAAAAGTGACCCATGCAGATAATAAGAAATCCAATTGGATAAGCTGAGTAAAACAAACACATTGTGAATAGATCATTCAGTATTTTTGAACTCCAAGTCATTTTATTTATATTTTCCGTTGTCCAGGTGAAGCCTTCCACCCCAGTGACCACCATCAACACACAGACTTGTCGGTACCCCCCAACAGTCCCACCGGCCTGTCGTCCCAGCATTCCTCCCTCCTGTCCCCAAAGCCGAACTCTGGGCAGCACGGTCACGTAACCTCCTCGTCTGGCACCAGTCTGGCCGCCCATGCAGCGCACGCTCCCTTCTCCCCGCTGGTACCGAATCTCCACGGCCCTACAGCCAAACTTAATTCTCCCAGTCCGGACAGCCCAACACCTGTCCACAAGCCCAGCTCGTGCAAAAACTCCCACATTCCTGCTGTGAACACGCAACACAACAAACTGGGCACGTCTTTAGTAGGCTGTAACCACCCCTGTAATGGACACAGTCAGGGAACGGTGGCCACTTCCAATGTAGGTCATCTGACAGCTGGGGCCTGCAGGTGAGCACTGATGTCTGGACATTTCTTTTTGGAGGATATAAAAGACAGCAACTGCCTTTGTGTTTGTGTTGGTTCAAAATACAAGATCCTCTGGCTCTTGATATAATGTCAATTCTTTCTTATTTGTAGGGACCAGGCATGTAAGGGGCACAAAATGACTAATGGGACGCTGTGTCATCCTCCGTCCGAGCTAGAGGAGGGGGAAGATGAAGACAGCAGCTCTGAGAGGAGCTCCTGCGCTTCCTCTTCCACCAACCAGAAGGACGGGAAGTACTGCGACTGCTGCTACTGCGAGTTCTTTGGACACAATGCGGTACATGGAAACATTTTATTTTAACATAGTTGAGTTCCCTTTATTCATTTAAAACCGTATCAATATTCTAATATATTATTCGGTCACAGCCTCCAGCTGCACCAACGAGCAGAAACTATGCTGAGATCCGAGAGAAACTCCGCTCACGTCTGACCCGACGTAAAGAGGAGCTGCCTCAGCGTCAAGATTCTGAACTGACGGTGCCCGATGTCATCGACAACAGAGACGTGGACGAGCTGCTAGACTTCATAAACAGTTCTGAGCCCAAACCTGTGAACAGTGCCAAGGCTGCCAAACGGGCTCGACATAAACAAAAGAAGAAGGTATGAAACTCTAGAAACAACTTTTGGTAAGATTTAAGACGTTGTTACGAGTGCCACTGTGTGAGGTTTTCCTTTCTTTTAACCAAAGACAGCAACATTCTGCAGTGGTAAACGTTGCCTAAACACGAGCACCTCAATTCAAAGTATGCATAAACTTACTACAGCTCTGGTTTCATATTAAGAACAGCTACACAAGATTACATGCACGCATTGTCTCCTGTAAGTCCCTCATGTGTCGGTAGTCAAACTGAAACTGCTTTTCATTACATTATGTAAATTCATTGAAGCACAACTGCTAAAAATGTCTCCCATGGTTCAATTAAACATTAAGAATTTATTTCATTTAAAACTCAAAGGATTATTATTTTACCTTAGGAACTAACTTAATAAAGAATTGTAATGAGGATGAAGAATTTGATCAGTATATAAAATATTGTCAATTAAGGTACTTTTTGAAGTACACTTATCTGTTGGCAGGAGAATAAGATCACTGAGCATGTTCACAATCTTCTTCACTGGTATCTGAGGGGTCATTAATGTAAACTTGATCACCACCTACTGGCCTGGCATGCTTGTTTGAGGCTTAGTGGTTGTTTTGGTGTTCTGGCCTGGACAGAGACAAAACAAAGATCAAGTGGACAGAGATGGGGAAAATATCCACAGTTGAGTCGACAAGGCCTTAGACAGATTTTGGTCAATGCCACAAAAAGTACAAAGTATCAATACATAAATCGAATAATGTATTGTCTTGGTAACATTACATTTTATGTGTGTATGCCTGTGGTCTCATGTCTGTACCACATCTATTTCAGGAAAAAGCTCAGCAGGGCAACATGGGTGCTGCAGGCAGTGACCCCCACTCCGATCCATCTGAGCCTGTCGACGAGCCCATTCCTGATGGTTCTGAAGCCAGCCGGTTGCTGGACTGGCCTCAGCTGGAGCTTGAGCGTGTCAACAGTTTTCTCACCAGTCGGCTGGAAGAGATTAAGAACACCATCAAAGACTCAATCCGGGCCTCTTTTAGCATGTATGACCTCAATCTGGATGTCAATGACTTCCCAAAAAAGGCAGCCACGTTGGAGGGCAACCATTTACTGTCCCATCTCAATGGTTCCTCGGACCTGCAGCAGATAGACCTCGACCTTGCTCCTCTTTCACTGGGATCGTTTAAGAGCCACCTTGATTTGGTTAATGGCTGGGAGGACACAAGTGCTGTCTCATCTCCTAATACTACCATCACTACAGCGTCAGGAGTCACTGTTGGGTCAAAGGACATCCAGCGGTTGCACACAACCCCCAGTCTCTCAAAACTCATAAGGGTTCGCTCTCCAGAAAGATGCACGTCTACTGGATCTGACAATTTGCCTCAGGTGCCAGCCCTAGCAACGGCGAAATCAAAGGAGGACACGTCTGATCCCAAGAACGCAGCTGTTGGGAACGGTGGTGCAAAGTCGAAGAAGAATAAAAAGCAACAGCAAAGACAGGAGCAATCTCTGTCGGAGCAAAATTCCAGCAAACCAATCAAAGCTTCCACCGGGACTGAAACACAGAAACCTAGCGAGTTTAAAGAAATGGCTTTGAATGGCTCAAAAGTCGGGAGCAAACAACTGCAGCACTCTGCAGACAACCTGAGGAACGGACCTAAGAAGGTCGAGGAGGGCAGATCATCCAAACAGGCAGCAAATGGAGCAAACAGTGGCCTCTCGAATGCACAAAGGGGGAAAGGTGACACAGACACACGGGGAAGTCGAGCTGAGTCAGATGCAGAAAGCAAAGCTCAACCCACTGTTACAGCAAATGGGCAACAACAGCTGCAGCAGCAATCCAAGGGGAAGAATAAGAAGAACAAGAACAAGGGTGAAAAATCCAGCAGTAATATTGGTACGAGAAGATGTTCATATTTACTATCACAACAATGTGTGTATCGTTGTCACTGTTTCTAATTGTTTTAATATTGTTTTTGTTTCTTTAGATGATGTATTTCTCCCTAAAGATGTGGATCCAACACAATTGGATGAGATCGATAGGGAAGTGGAATACTTCAAAAGGTAAACTATACAACGGCAACACAACAATGGGTCAGGAAAGGAATAAGAGCTTAGCTGTTCTGTTGATAAATATTGAAAGCATCACTAAATCTATGTATTATTTTTTTCCTCTTCCTGTTTGTCTGTCTTTGTTCCCTATAGGTTTTGCCTTGATTCTGCAAAACAAACTCGCCAGAAGGTAGCAGTGAATTGGTCCAACTTCAGCCTCAAAAAGGTTCCTTCCAATGCAGCTCAATAACTTGGATGAGTGCCAGAGATAAAAAAAAAAAACTCACCACACAGTCTTTCAGTAGACCGTTATTTGGCCTAAGGCTTTCTCTCATTCCCCGTTTTCTTCTCATCCTTACTAAGCCAAGGGGCCCTGGTTCAAAATCAAACTCCATTCATTCAGAAGACTGAAACATAACTTGTGGCTAAGTAGCCAGGGATCTGTCTCGAGGCCGACTCGACCCTCTGCTCTTATTGCAATGTTCACTAAATGAGAGATGCAAAAATGGAAAAAAGTCTGACTCCACTGCATCTATGTGCTCACGTATGTAGTATGTAAACAATTACCTTACATGAAATAAATGTTTTTATTACAAAAGCTGAGACATTTTAACGTTGTTAAACTTCTGAAAACCAATCGCTCTGAGTGCTTGGCATTTTAACCTATTACGCAAGGCTCTGTAGACACTACAGACTATTTGTCTAATACAGTGCAACTGACAAAAAGGAGCACAAAACAACACTTTGACCTTGTTTTAGGGGCAAAAAACACTTCTCTTCTGCAGAGAGCAACAACTGCATTGGTTTTACTCACAGGCATTAGTGGTTGTTCATAGATTTCAATTGGATTACGTAGATTTTTATCAAATTGTTGTGGAATCAGTGACAGAAAATTTTACAGACGAGCACTTGATGACCTTCCCTCCACACTGTTACCTTTTGTACAAACTCATGAATTGTGGGAAAAAAAACATGAAATGTTTGACAGTTTTCAGTTCACAAACACTAATATAACCTTGTGGGGAAAAAATGCTGTGTATAACACTTGGCTCCCGGGATGCATCTATAAAAAAAATATGTAACTCCAATTAGATACCCATGCATGAAGTGTAGAAGAGAAAAATCTAAATCCTGTCCCCTAGTCCTATTATCGGGCGAAATTCAATGTGTCTGTTGCTTCAATATCAATCCTCCCTTGGTGTTAAGCTTGAGCAAATATCTTTTAGTGATAACCAATATACACTCTGCCATCTGTAGGAGAAAGGTTCTTTACCACGGGTTCCTCACTCTCAACCCCCTATATCCCAGCAGTGACAGGTACACCAGAGTGCAATGTTCATTTTAACGTTGGAACCATCACTCCTTGTTTGACACAGTTTTTCAATGCTTGTACATATTGAGTGATTATTTTGGGCCCTTTTGAGCCTTTCATATGTTTCCCCGAGGTTGTGTGTCTATGATATGTTTTCAACCATACTACTCTTTTTATTTTCTGTACTGTGACCCTGTTGGCACCCTCCACCTCAGCCAGCCAAGCTCAAGTCCAACCCTTGATGATCTCTGATTGACAAATATCCCAGAAGACTTGATGCCTTTGGGAACAAGGGCCTTGGGATTGACACCAGTAACCACGTTTTAGCTGATGACTTTCACTGAGATGGATGATTTCTTTCCTGAATCTGTGTTCTGAGATTATGTTTTCATATAACATCTCTGATGCTTTTCAGGTTATACTCAATTAGAGAAGATTATCTTAATGTTTCGAATGTAGATTTATACTATTCCAATAATAGCCAAGTGTATGTTGGCTTGTTTCTGTTTTTTAAAAATTTCACTTTTGATACTGTGAAGAATCTTTCATTCAGAAAGATTAAAAACAATACAGTTTTGACAAAAAGAAGTGTGGTGTTTGTTTTCTAAGATAACTTCAGTTTTCGTTTCCATGACGCTTCATTGCTCCTCCCGTTCCTGCAGCACCAGACGGAATCGCGCTTCGGACGCAGCGTCCCGATGAGGTTTGACCCTTGTAGCGATCCGTACAGCCTCAGAACAGCTTCCGGTGTTGTTGTGTAAACGTGGATTAGCTTTATTTATTAGACTGTGATAAGACTATTCGATAAATAACTCAGTATCTCAGGTAATCAGGGAACTAAACTGTATTCTAAGGAAAATGGAAACCGAAAATAGACCCAAAAAGGTGAGTTACGCATGTTCATTCACTTTATCAAGAGGCTACACAAGCTAGCGGTAGTTAAAGTTAGCTAGCTACCCGTTGTAACATTTTGATCTGTTCTACACACAGGTTATATTTTCTATTGTGCAGGTAATTCACCAGAACAAAACCTTCCTTAAATGAAGTTGAGCTGATGGGTCTGACCGTGTGGGAGTTTTGGTCTGGGGCTGTAATTAACGTGTAAAGCTCCGCGATGAACAAGCCTCAGATCGAAGAAGACCAGACAACGTTTACCATTAAAAGAAGAAACTCTGGAAATATAACGAACTGCGTTTGTTTCAGATTTTTACATTTCTGTTCATAATGTGAATTTACAACTTAAAAGCCGAGCAGCTTAAAACAGAATGATGTATTTTCTATGGTTTCTGATTTGAACCCAAGTGTTGTGATTCAGGATTGTGTTGAAACTCGATATATAAAGGTTCGTGACTCAAGACAAGAAAACCTTTCACTGGTTAGTCTGTGTTGACAATTGGGGAAAGGAAAAGTCTTCGGTTTCATTAAAACACTTTGAGTTCGAAACATAAATGTGACTTTGTATAAATGCACCACAATCTTCACCAGAGGCAAAAAATCAGTCTTTAAACGTAAAATAAATAATGACATTTTTGTGATAATTATTAATATCGACTGATGTGAATATTCTTACATTGACATACTTTTTTTGCCATGTTGTCCAGTGAGGGACAACCTCTTACAGAAGTGTATATAAAGCTAAACAACTGTGTTTCATATGTGCTTACACCAGCGTATGACCCTGGCTTCCACACTCACATTTGATTAATGTCCCTGTATGTGCTTCTTTACCAGCTGGTGTTTGCTCCATGGTTTAGTACATGGCCTTGTTTCATTCAAAGCACTTTTTGTACTGCAGAAAGCAAAGTGTTCACCCCTGAGGGGATGCAACTGACAATGGTGATGTGTTTGTGCAGAGATCCCATGGGGAGGATGAAGGGTCTGGCTCCGAAAGATCAGAAGACGATGATTATGTTCCCTACGTTCCAGTCAAAATTAGAAAACAACAAATAGTAAGTGGTTCTGCACTCTCTTGTTTGAAACTTCATGGATGACTTGCGAATGATATAATCTGTTGGTTGATTGTTGGGGCCAGAACTGACCTTATTAGGTGGATCCAGAATTGAACATATTGAATTTCAATATGTAGTGAATACAATTTTCTTTGTCAATGACATTCTATTTGGCACATTTATTAAGGCACAAATAATAAAATAGGATTGTATTTTATTTTTTCCATATGCTTTTTGTATCAATGTCCCACACAGTTACCACATGATGGGATTAAATGCATGTTTTCTTTATATTTCTCCCACAGCTACAGAAAATGTTACGACTGCGAGGGAAGGCGGTGGACGAGGACCAAAAGGACAGCGGGGAGGATCAGAGGGATGAGGAGGAGGGTCTCGGCCCTCGCTCTAATGTCAGTCTCCTTGATCAGCATCAGCACCTCAAGGAAAAAGCAGAAGGTATCTAAGCAAGGCCTAATCTGCATTTCTAAAGTTGTCTGTTTTTAATTGTTTTCATTTTGTTTACCATGACGGCATTGGTTTTGTGATGTGTTTCTACAGCCCGAAAGGAGTCTGCTAAGGAGAAGCAGCTGAAAGAGGAAGAGAAGATTCTTGAGAGCGTTGCAGAGGGCAGAGGTAAAAAAATTATAAGACTGTCATAGTTCCTATGAATCGAATGAACTTTGACAAAACTGTTGATTCAAAATTATTTTAACTCTCCTCCCTTAGCTCTGATGTCTGTGAAGGAAATGGCCAAAGGTATCATATATGATGATCCAATAAAAACAAGGTGAGGTTTTCATAAGGGAATGCTATAAAGTAATATAATATGTGAATGTAAATATGTGTTTTGTGGGGTTTTCTTTCTCTTACCTTTCATTTTACCTGGTTATATTTTCAGCTGGAAGGCACCGCGCTACATCCTGAACATGCCAGACACCCGACATGAGCGGGTCAGGAAGAAGTTTCACATCCTGGTTGATGGAGACAGAATCCCTGCTCCAATCAAAAGCTTTAGAGAGATGAAGTTACCGCCAGGTTACAACACACTCCCTCTCCCACACATGGAAATCTTGCTTTGTCTTTCTGTATGAGGCCTTTAATGGTGAAACGTGTTCAACAACTGGCAACAAATCTTTTTTGTTTGCAGCAATTCTAAAGGGTTTGAAAAAGAAGGGCATCGTGCATCCCACACCAATTCAAATCCAAGGAATTCCCACCGTGTAAGTGGTTTATATTAAACACTGTATTTCTATGGTAAGGTTAAATACATATACCGGAACTGATCTTGTTTGTCCACAGTCTGTCAGGTCGGGACATGATTGGCATTGCTTTCACTGGATCAGGAAAGACTTTGGTTTTTACTCTGCCCATCATGATGTTTGCACTGGAGCAGGAAAAAAGACTACCCTTCTTTAAAAGAGAGGGACCTTACGGACTCATCATCTGTCCTTCAGTAAGACAAACCCGTTACACTGATAACACAAATTCATTATGGAGTCTTTTTTGTGGTCACATAAAAATCTTTTCAGTAGCGCTCTAAGCAGACGACAATTACTGTGAAAACTGTATTGTTACTTGATTTTTTTTTTTGTGACAATGCATATCGGATTTTAACTTGTGTCTTGTGACCCCAGCGAGAGTTGGCGAGACAGACGCACGGCATCATCGAGTATTACTGTAAACTGCTGGAGGAGGAGGGAGCTCCTCAGCTGCGCACTGCCCTCTGCATCGGAGGAATGTCTGTCAAGGAGCAGATGGAGGTAGTAAAACAGTAAGTAAGAGGAAAAGTCTGTGTGAAATATTTAGTGCTTGTGTTTTATTCAGAATCTGCAATTAAAAGTAGAGTTAAACAAAAGGAATGATTCATCTGCATTCAAATATTCAGCAAGGAACATTATCCAGGAAAGATTCAAGCTCTCAGTCCTGCTGTGTTAGAGACAGTACACAGACAATTTAGCATGGCCACCTTAAGACTCAGGCATTTTAATACACGAGTGGTAAATAAAGCCTTGGGTTGATTGTTCCTCTGAATCTCTGTTTCCTCCTTATTACAGTGGTGTCCACATGATGGTCGCTACCCCCGGCAGACTCATGGACTTGCTGCAGAAGAAGATGGTGAGTCTGGACATCTGTCGCTACTTGGCTCTGGACGAGGCTGACAGGATGATTGACATGGGCTTTGAGGAAGACATCAGGACAATCTTCTCCTATTTCAAGGTGAGGTCCCCCTTTTATGGCATTATCACACAATGACAGCATCTAGTTACATCAATGCAGCAGATTAATTAAACCAGCCTGGCAGTGCCCAACGGGATAATAATGGTCAGAGAGATCATTTCAAGAAGATGTTTCTGTAGGTAATTGAAAAAAGATCAGCTACATTTAGACATGAACATGCATTTCTTCTTTGCCGGTTTAGAAAAACAGCAAACAGCAAATCACCATCTAAACATGTTCATGGTTGTCCACCACGTCTGTATTACAGCTACTGCATTAAGTTGAATGTTTTGTTTTTTTTCAGACCAAACTTTGGTAAAACTTTGAGAAATGTATTCCCAGATTTGTGGGTTAATGAGGCAGGAACAGCCCTAAAATGTCTTTTTTTTTCCTTTTCAGGGACAGAGACAGACCCTGCTGTTCAGCGCCACTATGCCCAAAAAGATCCAGAATTTTGCCAAGAGTGCGCTGGTCAAACCCATCACCATTAATGTGGGTAGGGCCGGTGCTGCCAGCTTGGACGTTATCCAGGTATGTTCATCTTTCTCTCTAACACTATAGTGCCTCTCATTCAGGAGCATTTATTCCATTCAAATTAGAAATAAAACTGATGAGAAAACAGAATGAACTGGTCTTTGTGTTGTGTTTTTGTGTGTATGCAGGAAGTGGAATACGTCAAAGAGGAAGCCAAGATGGTGTACCTGCTGGAGTGCCTTCAGAAAACACCACCTCCTGTCAGTTTTATTACACTGATACATACCTGAAATACACAACCCTAACCTGTCAAAAGACACTAAATATTGTTATTGTTGTCTTGGTACGGCAGGTGCTGATATTCGCTGAGAAGAAGGCTGATGTAGATGCTATCCATGAGTATCTGCTGCTAAAAGGAGTGGAGGCGGTGGCCATCCATGGAGGAAAAGGTTTTTAACTTTATTCTAGTCATTAACATACACAGCTCACAACATCATCATAGGAGGATCATTGTATATGGAAGTTGGTTCAACCAAGCTTTACCTTCAGCTTTGATGTAGTTGCTCATCTTGACCAAAAGATGGCATCCTGCTTCCAAATGTCTCAATTCTGCCTTTTACAGAATAGAAAGAACTGCAGACACTTCCCTCACATTTTCCATTAATCTTTGTGTGCGCTGATTGTTTTTTCTTTCAGATCAAGAGGAAAGAACAAAAGCCATCGAATCTTTCAAAGAAGGAAAGAAAGACGTCTTAGTTGCCACGGACGTCGCTTCCAAAGGTCTGGATTTCCCAGCTATTCAGCACGTAGTGAACTATGACATGCCTGAGGAGATAGAGAACTATGGTAAGAGGATACATCTATGACCTTGACTCTTTAAAATCAGAAGAATTGAAGCCTTTTATTAAATAGTTTGAGCTGCTTTGTTGAAATTCTCTCATTTCAGTCCACAGAATTGGAAGAACTGGACGATCAGGCAAGACTGGTATCGCTACTACATTCATCAATAAAGGCTGCGGTGAGAGAAACTACAAAAATCTAAATTGTTTGTGTATAGACGCAGTAATTGTCAGAATATTTGCCTTGTATTAAAGTGAAATCAGGTGAAGTAAGTGACAGTACGTTATTAGTAAGTATGTTTTTCCATTCCCCATAGATGAGTCTGTGTTGATGGACCTGAAAGCCCTGCTGGTTGAAGCCAAGCAGAAAGTTCCACCTGTTCTCCAGGTTCTCCAGACAGGAGACGAGACCATGCTGGACATCGGAGGTGAGTCTGTCACACCGAATCTAGTTCTCTTCTTTCTGTCCACAGTGCTCTTCCCTAATCGCCAATTATACAGATGTACATATGTGCGATTAGAACAACCATCTCAAATTCACAGAAGCAAGCGTGGAGTGTTAGCAGACCATTTCTAATGTAGCTGATTTTTGTGTTTTCACAGGAGAGAGGGGTTGTACATTCTGCGGGGGTCTTGGTCATCGTATCACAGACTGTCCGAAGTTGGAGGTCATGCAGACCAAGCAGGTCACCAACATCGGGCGCAAAGACTACCTGGCTCATAGCTCCATGGACTTCTAAGATAATTTTTATCAGAGTTGATATGCTCAAGCTGAAAGAAACTGAAAGATGTTGGCAGTGAATATAGGAAGGAAGTGTATTTTTATCATCAGTTACCGTTATCCGCAGGTCTGTTTGATAAAACCATTTCCTTGCAGTTTCTTGCACCTTTTTTCCCCTCATTTCTTTCTTGTTGTGTATGTGTAGGCTTTGTAAGATACATTCTTGATACTGATAATTGTAAATAAAACCTTATAATGTACGGGCTGTTGATCTTTTCTGTTCTCACCAAAAGGTGTGCTGGTGGTTTTGTACGGTGAGGAAGTTGCTAAAACAAGCAGAATAATGCAAAGGGAAGTGTGACTCAAGAGAATAGCAACACACCATTTGTGTATCCCTTCTCTGGCAACAGTAACATTTCAGATGAGAGAGGTTGTTGACTGATCTGTGGTGAATGATCTCTAGCAGATGACAATGACCGCTGCCTGTGACGTAGAGGAAACTTATTCGAGTGGTTTTGGAAATGTGCTTTTAACACAGAGCAACCAGTGTTGTGCTGAAGTGTAATATTTGAAGCTTACAAGCATGAATGTCATCTTCAAGGAGGGACTGCTGTACCTGCAGGGAGTCAAGTTTGGAAAAGTAAGTATTAAGGATTTTTTCATTCAGCATATTTGTGAGAAAGAGAAGATTGTGGTTCATGTTCATTTGTGTTATTTTAAATCAAGTGGTAACTGAACAACTTGCGTGGTTTTTACAGACTGTTTAAGTCAAATGAGTAAAGGCTCAGTTGGTGATGGATATATTTGTCAGAGGTTTAAAGTCTTGATGTGGAGAATCATGTGAAGTCAGTGAATGCAAAGATGGATGTTTAACTCTGCTCAGTTCGGCTCATTAGGCTTTAGTGAATAATGCAGTGGAGTTTAAACTTTCTTTGTCCAATGAAACACAATGTTATATTTTCGAGAACATGGCGGAAAATATGGATGGTGCTCTACAAACCCAGTTCCACAGGGGTCGGCCGGTTGGAGCTTTATACTGTATTTGACAAAAACAATGTTGCTGACCAGAAGAGGTCCGGTTGGCAGAAGAGGCCAGACGGGAAATCTGTGCGTCTTCGCGACTGCCTCAGTGTCACCCCTGCTCCAGACGAGTCTTGCCCCAAAGGGTGCACGGCCTTCTACTTGAACACCACACAGTGCACCTACACCCTGGCCTCTACCACAAGCCAGGACTGGCTGAGTGCCCTCTGTCTTCTGGCCTTCCAGGTATAATACATGTCTCCTCTCTACACGCACAACTTTCCCCTTATCAGAGTTTGTGTTATAATTTGGGAAAGGTGGGAACAGACCTTATCCATGGTCCGAGATAGAGAGCACAATGAGGAAGTTGATGCGGTACCTGCAACTTCTGCCACTTCACTTCTCCAATTCTTGTGCTTGCACAAGCTATGCTCCTTCTTGCATCTTACCAATTTGACGTCGTAAAACGATGATAAGAGGGTGATTTACGCTCTGTTCAATATTGACCATGTTACTGTGTTTACAGAAGGATCCAGAAGAATCAGACAAAGGGGATTTGGAGAGAGGAAATGGCCTCACCATGGAGAACAATGACCTTTACTCATCATGGAAAACCAGTAAGACGGACAGCTGATCGATCATTAAACAATCAAATATAACAGTGCTAAAGTGATGCTTCAGTGGTTGTTCTTTAGTTTTATTCTTTTTAAATATTAATATTGGTTCAAATTAGAAAATAGTACGATTTGAAACAAAAAACATGATGAAACATCAATTAGTCAATCAATTCATTTATGCAGTTCAGTGCTTCACAATTGACTGATGAGCCAAGAATACACAAAATAAATAAAAATGCTTAACATTAGATATAGTTTTAAATAAGTGCAATAAATATAAGACATGAAAGTAAATAAAATGGAATCAAAACACTAACAATATTAACATACAAATAAGATGGAATATAATTTTAAACCTAGATGCATGAATATAATCTCTATAAACCATACTTGTTCAAAAGGATAAAGAGATACTTTAAAGATTTGTACACTTCAGGGTGCTGTGTGCTGATTGTTCCAGCAGCTCGAAGCACATCTTTGTATCTTATTCGTACACTGTGTATGTGACATATGGTGTAAGACTGATTGAATCTTAGAACCAATACAGAAACTGGCAATGACTTTAGAATATGACGCATCTTTGTCTGATTGTATCATTTTGACATTCAATGGGAAGGTGTTAGCAGTTTTATCTTCACAGACAATGTTTAAAATAAAACAGTCATAACTCTTGGTAGGGCTTCAGGGTTTTTTTTAGTATGAAAAAAATAAGGTTTTACTTCCCTCACCACCCACATAGTTTTTGTACAGCCACTAAAAACAAGTCACACAGGGTGCGATCAGACCGTTTAAAATTTAATTTCCTCTTTACGTTCAACTTAAATTGACTTGAGTGTATTAGCACCAGCAAGCTCAGGTTTATACACATGTACAGTAATTCTTTTGATTTCCTAATGAAGTGATTAGAAGAATATCAGCAACTTTAAACCTGCTGTTCTCTGTGTAAATTAGCCGTACATTTACTTTATATGTATTGCTGCTCAGACCTGCTCGTATGGATCGGTCTGTGCTGCTGAGATGTTAAAGGAATATTTTAATATCATCTCTTCGTGTTTAGATCCGACCCATCCACCGAACCAGTACCAAGTGACTATCCAGAGCACAGAAGCATCCCAGAGGTGCAGACTGGCCGGAGAGTATCTGCTCTCCCCAGGAGAAGAAGCTGTGACTCTGCTCGCCTGCAACACCGGTCACGTCATCTACCGCTGGCCGTACAGACTCTTACGCAAATTTGGTCAAACTGAGGTAAAGGGCAGTTTGAATCCTTTCAATAATCAAAACCCACCTGTACAACCCTGTTATACAACATGATAATGTGATTTTAACAACAACTTTTTTCACACACCAACCACCTACTTTGGCTACTAACTAGTTGGTCTTATCTGACATGTATGAAGTACAAATTGTGAGTATTTCATTAGTAAAAAAAAAAATACTTTAGAAATAGTTATTAGAGCATCTGACCTATTCCACCCAAAGTTATGCTCTGAAGACCAACAATTCTACACTGTTAACAAACACATCTGGTTCATTCAAATACCATCACTATGAGGGACCTGATATTTTACTTCTTTAAAGCAACACAACAGCTTTTTTTCCCTATATTAATAGTTGTGTTTACAGGGTGGATTCAGCATTGAAGCCGGACGTCGCTGTCAGTCAGGAGAAGGCATGTTCATCTTCCTTTCCCCTTATGGACCTGAGATCTTTCAGGTCTTAATGGGGCAGTGCTCTGCGGGGAGGACTTCCTCCGCTGAGGCGTTCAGCATCAGCAAAAGATGGTCATGTGACCAGTCCCCTTGTACCTTCCCACCTACACCCGCTGATCCTCCAGTCTACAATCCATCAGACTCTGCCATCCACTACTCTTCCATTAATGACACCTCTGGGCTAAATCTGGTCAAACATCATCCGTCTAACAGCAAGGAGGATGTTGGAGATGTAGGTGAGGATGAGCAGCATTACTCCCTGGGCTCTGTAAGCCTGGATGTTGACCTGGACGACAACATTTACTCCAACTGGAGGAGATCCACTCCTCCTCTGATCAGAGAGGATCCTGTGACAGATGACTCGGAGTGCGTCTACTCGTACACGAAAGAAGATGATTCTCCCTCAAACTCCCAGCTGCAGCCTTTCTCCTCACCGCTCCACCAACCTGTTCTCAAGCCTCGTCCCTGCACCCTTCCCCTGCCTGATCTCTCCACCCTCCACGTCAATCCCAGATACCAGCGTCAGCCCGCTGTGAGTATTGTCAACCAGGCAGGGTTCAATACTCAGGCACATGAGGCGGACGGCATGAAGGAGACGGAGGAGGCCATAAGCTCCCCCGCCCATGTCACCCCCTCAGAGACCCCTGGCAGTTTTAAACACAAACTGGCAGGACTCTTTGCTAAGGAGCTGGCAAAGATCCAGCCACCTCTTCCCTCCGGAGTGGGCAGCCCCTCATTTTCTCACTAGGCTATTATTTACCAGGCAGACGAGGAGGAGCAATTTTAACCATGATGAATAGTCATGAGGCGTATTTTTTTGTCTTTCAAATCTCCATCCTGAAACATTATGTGTCAATTTTTTTGCTTCCAGACTTTCATTATGTTTATCTATAGACTATAGACTGTTGTTTTATTCTGGGGCTTGTTTTTTTGAAAAACAGGATTTAATTAGTGTTGTTCTTCACTGCTGGAATGTTTGAGACGCTGCGGGTCCCTGTGACATTGCCATTAGTTGATAAGCTGAAAGAATGTGTGATTATTGGACGGTTTAATTATGGAGGAAAAAAGTGTTTCCTTTTGACAGTCAGTGAGTCACACATCATCTTTTGGGACTCACTTCCTCTAGATTGTGTTTGTTCTATTTCCTTTTTCTCAATTGCTGCATATAAGTATAACAGTTTTGCCTCATGGAGATAATAATTGTGTGGAAATTACTTTTTGCATCTAGATATTTTACTCTGCTTCACATGGTAGAGATATTGAAAAGTCACTTACTCAATGTAAAACCATGTGTTGTACATGCGATACACAAAAACAGCTGAAAATGCACACTGCTTTCTTAAAGATATCTTTATTGTAGCAAAACAATCCTTATAAAATACCCCATAGCTAAACATAAATATCAAAATAATTGTTTTTAATTTGTACAAATGTCACCAATGACACCGGAAACGTCACCAGTGATGTTCAGAGCATATAAAGTGCATTAAAAGGCCTTTGGAAGTTCATGATGGCCTCAGGAAGTAAAAAATTAAAGGTCTTAGAAAGTGTTTTTGACTTTTACCTGTACTTTTCTTTCATTTGGCTGTGCAACATCTAAGCTATAAATCATGACAGGAGAATATATGTACTTCAATCATATGATCAACATTTCTACAAGCTGTGATATTTGGTTCCCCCACAGACACTGTGTGTAAACCGCTGGTGGAGAATGTTCTGTCACTGTCTCCCACTCTGACTTTCTTCCATGTCACTGAGGTGCGAGGATTCTCCATCACTGCTGTGGGAAGAGGTCGTGGATTTATTTGACCCCCGCTCGGATGAAGGTCCGAGTATGATGAGGTGACCCAGGGAGGCAGTGTTGTCCCGCTGGGAGTGGATGAGACTCCTCATGGAGGTCTTGTCCGCTGAGCCTGGACGCGGACCCATGCACTCCGACTGAACCACGCCGACCAGGAGCTCCGACAGCTCAGTGATGTAGATCTGCGCCATTTGCAGGGTGTCATACTTGGACAGCTTCCTCTCATTCTCCAGTGAAGGGATGACACTCCTCAGCTCGTCGAACGCTTTGTTCAGGCCGTGCATCCTCCTCCTCTCCCTGGCGTTGGCTGCGACGCGCCGGTGCTTCTGGGGGCCGCAGTGGTTCATCTTGCCTCCCTCTGCTTCCCTCTCACAGTCCGTCTCTGCAGAGGACACGCACTCAGCCACTTCACTCGTCATTGGCACGAGTCTCTCCAGTGAGATGCCTGCGTCTGGAGCTCCGAGCGCGTCCCTCCTCGAGTACGCACGGACAGCGCTTGAACCAATCCAACTTTTGGAGTTGATGTGGGCCAGGCTGAAATCCTCGGGGTACTCTGGCCAGCTGGAACTCTCTGCGTTTGCGGTCATCGCTGTAAAGGGCCTGTGGTTGTGCGCTACAGGGGAAGGTCACACAGAAGACTGTGGTGGTGTCCTCGTCTCTGGAGTGGGTTGCACCGCTGCAGCATTTTATACAGCCTCCCCTCAGTCACCTTGGTGTCACTCCCATGCAGCCCACAGACAGCCTGACAGCCCTGCAGCCTCAGGAGGCAGCAGCCAATCGCACAGTCCCCTCTGACCCTGTCAAAGAACAATTAGACAATGCTGACTTTTCTTCTCCCATTGTGCTTTGTAACTCAATCACGACCTTGTTATTATCCCCACACAGCGGGGAGCCGGCAGTATTAATCATTCAAGAGCTTGGTTTATGTGTTTCTAAAGCTAAAAGATGATCTGATGAACTTATTCAGTAAAAAGACTGAGCTGCGTCTTTTGGCTTAAAGGTTCAGTGTGTAGAATTTTGTGATATCTAGTGTTGAAGTTGCATGTTGCAGCTGAACACCCCTCACCCCACCCTCTCCTTCCAAACATGAAAAAGAACCTGTGGTAGCTTCAGTTGTCATAAAAACTCAAAAGGTGTTTAGTTTGTCCAGTCTGTAAAAACATGACGGCCTCTGTAGAGAGGGACCCCTGATGTAAATAAAGTATTTAAATATAAAGGGCCTTTTCTGGGGTAAAGAAAACTACAATTCATACAATTTAGATGAAATGAACTAGTGAAAACATCCTGAGGATTATTTTACATTCAATTTCTGCCAATAGATTCACCTAAATCTTACACACTTCTCTTGAAATAGCCACAATAAGGTAACAAGTGCGCACACCAAAAATGCTTTTACACTTATTAGTACATTCAACAACTTTTAAGAATATTTCAAACATGTTGTTCTTATCTATTTTCTCCTCCCCAACTCTTATGCACACTATCGTTCAAGGCTTGAACATCATCATCATCATCATCATCATCATCATCATGATCATGGACCTCCGCCCTGCTCTCAGTTCATGGAAAAAGGACATGACCATGTTTCTCATGAGCTAAGGAGCCTGACTTCTTCATTGGGTCTCACCCTTGAAGGATTTGGCATGGGCTGAGGCTTGTTCTCAAACAAACAGTAAAAGGTGGAGGATATTTCTCAGATTATTTGCAGAAGAATAATAAAAAGAACAGGTGGGAGACCAGGCTGGAGACACACCTGTCTGTGGCGGAGCTCCATAACTGATAACTGTTGTCTGAAGGCAGTTTATGAATCATTTAGAGAGAAGCAAGCTTCAAAACATACATGATCCACAATGGAAGACATTCAACCATCCATATCATTACAGGATTATACATACAAACTTTTCATATATATTTCATACATCACTTTTTAGAATTATGACTTCCCTCATTCATAAACGCATACATCTTCTTCTGGTATGAGTCAAAATATACAAATTGGTATCCAGTATTAGTAGTAGTATATAGTACATAATCGAAATATTCCACTTTACATGAATAATATGAATACTCAATTGTTATTATAAAATATAATAATTATCATAACATTTATTTCTGTTTCATGCCAATGCAGTTGGCTCATCCCTTAGTGGAGTAATAAAATCACCCTAATACAAACACATACATCTTCTCTCAGTATTACAAATACTGTAAAATGTGAATATTTCACTTTATACACATGAATAATAGATAGGCTATTATTATTGTGATGATAGTTATTATTATTATTATTAGAAGTAAGAGTAGCAATAGTAACAGATCATGTGAATCTTTCATTATGATTATCGTTAAGACGATGATTATTATTATTATTTTTAGTTGTATTGTTGTAGTTAGAGATTGAGCTTTCCTCTCCTATATAAGTACCTAAATGAACAAAGATAAATTAGACTACAGTTATTAATGGTCACGTGGGCCCCTGGCCTATGCCTATCAGCTGGTGTCCCCTGGCACCCCACACAAACTGCGCACCTCTGTCACGAGCAGTGTCAGCCATGCACGTCTCCCATATGCCGCGGCGCGCAGCCTCCTGACGCACGGTGACGCTCTGACGCTAATCACTCATTAGATCATCAATTACAGGAGCGCTTCTCCTCAGCACCAGCGGACCTGACTGAGATCTGAGGCAGTAGTGGCGATGGAGACTCGGACAAGTTTGTGCATCGCGCACCATCACCACCTCCTCCTCCTCCTCCTCCTCCTCCTGTCCAGTCTCCATGTTTGTGTGTGTGTGACAGTCTGATAAAGAAAATCACCGTGACCCGCCCCTCCGCCAGCAGTTTAATGAGGCCTGCTCTTCACTTGAATAAATCGGCACACGCTCTTCGTCCCGGGGTGTCCATTCATCTTCTTTTTCTTTTGGGTGGGGGGGCTACATGAATATTTCATTCCTCCAGCACCAGTGCCAGCGCAACAGCCTGCATCCCTGCGTACGCGCTTTAAAAATGCGGCCACACTTCCCATCTGCTGCGGGGCGTGAGCGGGGGGCGTGGTGAGGAGGTGTGAGGGAACATGTGAGGTCAACCTCCGCTGACCTCCTGCAAGAGAGGGAGGGACTGGTGTGTGCATGGCTGTGTCTCCCTGTCACATGCAAACACACGCACACACACAATAACTGTCAACGGGCAAGTTATGGCAACTTTCGTTCCTGGTATTCTTGAGGGCCATGAAATCCATTTGTAATGGTGGCCTCCATTACAAATCAAAGAGTTGAGTTAAGTGATTGTAATTACTGCTGGGCAGTGGTGGAAGATTCAGCCTGCAGCACACAATCCTAAAATGCAACAGCTTGCAAGTACAAAAATCTGCATTTCAGCTAAATGTATTGCAGATATGAAAAGTAAAAAGCCTTGCACCCTCTGAGTGTTATGGTCGTTGGGTGGATCCTGATGCCTCAATGTGTACATAGCAATTTAATGTTAGTGCCAATATATTTAACAGCTCTGAAAATGGTTGAATCCTTAAGTTTTGCAAGCAGCACCGTTCTATTTACGGCGCTGTTAAACTTGCAATGTAACTTGTAACTACTGACTCACACACAAATAAATCTAATGGAAGACAGTGCAGTATATCCATCACAAACGGGGTTGAGGTATAAGTTGCAGTAAAGTACAAATATGACAAAGATAAATGAGTAAATGTACTTTTAGTTACCATCCATCACTGTGGAGAGGTGATAAAACGTTGCAACAAAGAAGAATTTATGATGGTTCTAAGTTTTCCATATCATGGTATTAATGCTAGCACTTAGAATTATGCTGTTGTAACTAATTTGATGTTTCCCCTGAGATTAGTGTTAAACAACTGTGAACTTTGCAATGTGAAAATGTTAACAACATTTAGGTTCACATAAGTCGGTAAGAGAAATTAAATACCTGTCAAGTTATTGCCAGCAAGAGTATTTGCTTTGGCCCCTGAGGTATAGGTTTACTGAATTATCTGAACAATCATTTTGAATAAAACCCAGAACCCTCTCAGAAACTGAGCAAGACCTGATTTATGGGTTTTGGAACAAGCTCCTGGACTCTGTTTTGGATGACTCTGTATGCGTGATGACCAGAATGTCCTGTGTATTGTCAAATTATGAATTTTCTGTAGGCTATATTATTCATATAAATATTTATATATATATATATATTAATCAATATGGTTTCATAACATGTAACATTAACTTGGCAACTGTTTATCTTGACCTGCAACCATTCAAAACTCAAACACAACCAGCAAACCACAGCACTGACCACTGCTATTCAACTGTTAATAAACGTATTCATTTTACACCACACACTGGTGTGGCTTTGATGCCTCTCAACCAATCATACGATTGGTTTGCAGCTGGACGCCGTAAGAAGCACTTATTTTATTTTGGCAACGTTTCCTGTTCCATTTTTCCTCATTATGAGCAGGCTGATAAAAGTGTGAGAGCTAGAGAAGGAGAGAGACAGAGTCGTTCCAATAACAATACATTGTGTCATTGTTCTAATTTCTAGTAAATGAAGCAGACCTAATCGTGAAATTAAACCGTCGCTCTTTCCACTGGGGACGCCTTAAAACCTCCTCACTTTATATCCCTGGGGAGCCACAGTCGGGGAAACCATGGCCTCGAGCAATCTATAATTAATTCAACACTATTTTCTGAAGCCTCACTTTGAAGTATTGTATCTCTGTTTCATTGTCCACCTGTTCAGTATCGTAACACCTTACTACGACTATTAGACATCCCTGCACGCTACATATGGCTGTGACATTATAACGCTTTCATTTATGGGTCTGTAATTTTTATTGGAGAGAGATAAATTGGCACTAATTATGAGGAAACTTAGTAGACTGGTTAGATGTTTTTAATCCCATATAAAATAGCCTATACAACAAATGAACAGCTACACATGATTTTAACCCCATGACTCTTTGGGAGACTTTTCCTTCTCCACTGATCCACTGCAGGCCTGAGTGGATCATCTAGTGATCCACCTGTGTTGTAATTAAAGGCCCATTCATTTCCTAACAATAGAGTGTTTCCTTTCTTTGTCACACCATCGTGCACCAGCAACAGTGAACCCCTTGAAGTTGGTAGCGGTCTACTCTGTAATTACCCCCACACACCCCGAGCAATGGAGGTGGTTCTAGAGAGCAAAGAGAGAAATCTTAAAGCCGGGGTTTCAGACGCAAATTAGGACAATTAGCAGCCTCATTAAATTGGGAAAAGGGAAGTAATATTCTAGTTAAAGTAATGGTTCATTAGGGGTAATGTTATCTATGCTAACAGGCTAATTGATGAACTCCTAGGGAGGGACAATGAGCGGAGATGACTTCTCTCTTACAGTAGAGCAGCACTGAGCTGGTCCCGCTTTGAACATGTAATGTCTTTCTATAGGAAAATATCTGCACAGCACTGCGCTAAAGTGGAGGGAAGTGTCACCATGCTTGAAATAAAGTGTCAGCTGGGGGCCATTTTTTAAACACATGATGTAAAGGGAAGAGAAGGGGCCCCTCAAGGGTCCACACAGCTTAAAGGGGACAGTCAAGCAGGTCTTTAATCAGTCTATAGGAAAACGTGCACCACTGATCACAAGTTACTGTAAACTTACCAT